GCCATGGCGGTGCAGTGGATCCCGACCCTTACCGGCGGGAGGGCTTCATTTTTAGAGGTTCCTTTGAGTTTTGTTAGAGTTTATGTCCAGCCCAGAAAGACGATACGGTGACCGCTCCTTGAAGATATAATAAGGTTCTCCCTGCCTGGCACCCGTTGCGATGTTGCGTCTAGCATCGTCTCTGGGCGTGTATAGGGGTGTGTCTCTGGCGGATTTGTTCTTAGTGAATTTGCTCGGATCTGGTCGTAGTTCGACTACGTTCGTGTGTCTTCACGTTAGATCCTTCCGATGTATGCCACTCTTCAACGGCGGCGGTTGCTGTTCTGGTGCGCTAGTCCTATGGGGCCTTAGCGCGACGACTTCCTAATTCCGTACTTTTTTTTGATAAATGGTGGATTTTATTGACTCAAAATGAGGCATCAACTGAATACAAACACAATGATCCTCCTCCCCCATAGGACTAACTAAAATGGTTGTAGATTAAGGGTGGATCTTATTGAGTCTCTGTATGTTTTTGATAAATGGTGGATTTTATTAACTCACCGTTCTTCTTATGGTTGTAGATGCTCTTATTGTGCGCACAAAGTTATGGCCGGGGTGGGAAATCGTTGCACGTGGCTTGCCTGGAGGCATGGAGCAGCCGAGGGACGATGTAGAGGACTAGATGAACCGGAGCCGAATTGTAGGACAAACCGTCGGGCGAATGAACATGCCGAGAAAACTGTTGGGTGAAAAATCAGTCGACGGGGCTTGCACAGAACGTGCACAAAAATAAAATGGGTATAAAGTGCCCGAAGTTTGAGTAAACGGGGTAAACTAAATAAAAATCCTTTAAACAGAATAACTGTGAAAATGACAAAGACGAAGGTACAAAATAAAATTAACTATATATTATTATGGAGACAAAATGGTTCATATGATATATTTTAGCATGATGTAGTTATTGTATTGCCACCTAACGAACTTGGACAGAGTGAGTACATACACATGGATGCCCGGGTTGACAAGTAAGTGTTAATTTTCATAATCAATTATCTTTAATTTTGTTATGCATTGTCTTCCTCTTTAGTAGTCGCATATTTTTGAGTGACTCAAATTGATAAATAGAACATAGGCTATTAATTATGTCATTGAAATTAAACCAATTGACATTTCTTTTGATTTTGAATCATACAATATCGATTCTATATAACTTAAACACATAAGTGCTGGAAATATTAGCACATTTTAGAATAATCTAATCCACAAGTAAATAGTAAACATGGCATTCACAGTCTGCAACTCATACCGATAACTAAACATTTGAGCATGTGTACAACATAGAATTGAATCATCTATGCACATGACACATACAACTAGCATACGAACAAGCAAGTAGGGGATGAACAAATAATACCATCCAGTAAGTCAGGCTACGGCCACAACAATTTCCTCCTCTTCCGCGGCTTTCTTCTTGGAACCGTCGTCGTTAGGCATGGAGTCCGTGCAAGGGAAGTAGTCCGTTATTTATTCTAGTGACTGTAGGGAGATCACGCAATACATATGGCGCAACATAGTGGAAGAACAACAGAGAGAAAATGAACATCCACGAAAACACTGACTCATTAATTACTCCACAAACGCAGTAGCCCCGTCGTAGAGGTGACCTGGGAGCTTGGGCTCCATGATAGTCTCTAACGGGAACTTGCGTGGAGTGGACAGCCCAAATATCTCTTCCATGCTCAGCTGCTCCGCGGCAACGCCGTCGGGCAGCCTCCACGTGAAGCCGTGCAGCAGATTTGCGAGGCTCATCTGGATCACCTTGAGGCCGAGGCTGTACCCGGGGCACATCCGCCGGCCGGAGCCAAACGGCAGGAGCTCGTAGTCCTGCCCATTCACGTCCAGCTTGCTGTCAAGGAACCGCTCCGGCATGAAATGCTCAGGCGCGTCCCACAGGGCCGGGTCACGGCCAATGGACCACACGCTTATGTGGACGCGTGTGCCAGCCGGGATGTCGTAGCCGCCGACGGTCGTGTCCTCGCGAGACAGGCGGGGCACCAGCAACGGCACCACCGGATGCATCCGCATGGCCTCTTTCATGATAGCATCCACGTACGGGAGGCTCGGAATGTCGTCCTCTGTGACCCAGCGGCACCGGCCGACGACGCGGTCCAGCTCCTCAGTTGCCTTGCCAAAAATCTCGGGCTTCTTTAGGAGTTCGGAAATGGCCCATTCCACAGTCACCGTCGAGCTTTCCGTGCCGCCAGCGAGTAGATCCTGCACGCATATGTTTGTTCGAAATATAGGAATTGAGAGTTTTTAAATTAACTAAAGAAGTAGTACTAGCTAGGAAATTTTTTAGTCACAGACCTGTATGAAGGCCTTAACGCCACCCCGGCTGAGTTTGACCTCAAGATTGGGGTCGCTGGCTACCTGAAGCAGCACATCGACCATGTCTTTTGCCACGAAGCTCTCCCCCTCGCGGCTGCGCCGTTCGTTGTGCTCGTCGACCACGTGTTCGAGGAACCGATCGTACATCTTGCTCAGCTTCTTCATCCTCTTAACGTAACCCTGCACGTCCATCCAGTCGAGCCACGGGATGGAGTCACCGATATTGAGCACGCCGTTGAGCAAGAACAGCTCGTCGAGCATCCACCTGAATTCATCAGGCGTCGTGATCGCGGAGCCTGCCGCTTCCTTGTCCAAGTAATTCTTGCCCAGCATCATGCGCGAGATCACGTTCAAGCTCAACGTGGACAAGTAGTCCTTGAGTGTCACGACGCGGCCGGACGCTCCGTGCAGATCGCGCAGGAGTGCTCGCAGCTCCTCTCTGCGGATGTACTCGTATGACTCGAGGCGCTTCACGCTGAAGAGCTCCGTGAGGCAGATCTTACGCGCCTGGCGCCAGTACGGACCGTACTGGGACCAGGTGATGTCCCTATAGTTGTACGTGGTGTACTTCCCGGCGGCGGTTTTGGGCCGGCCAGTGAACACCACGTCATGGGTCTTGAGAAAGAACTTGGCCATCTCGACGGAAGATCCGACGACGACCGGGACGGATCCGAAGCGGAGGTACATGAGTGGGCCGTACCGTTCCGAGAGCGCGTGAATGGAGCGGTGTGGGAGCGCGCCAATGAGGTTGAGGTTTCCGATGATTGGCCATGGCTTAGGTCCCGGAGGGAGGTTGTATCCACGTCCACTGGGTCGACAAGCCACCGTTTTGATGAAGAGCACGGTGGCGAGCACAATCCCAAGGAAGGTCAGCCATGGTTGGAGCTCCATCGATAGGTATACAGCAGCTGCCTGCCGGGGATGATATTCACTTGCTTATAGAACAGGGCGGTTTAGCTTGAGCTGACTGATTCTCAGATCAGATGGTTGTACTTATAGCATACGCAGCGGAGAAGGACGCCAAGTCGGTGAAGACAGTTTCGGGGCACGAGCGTTCAGAGAACTGCTGGTGCTCACTGCTTCAGCCTATAGGCTGTAGGCGGAGTAATAAAAAAAGGAAAAACATTTAGATATAACTTTTCATTCGCCGGATTTAGGTGACGCCGGTTCCTGGTGTAATAGAGAAAGGTATGCATGTGTATTCATGCAAGTATGCAACTAAGGATAAAACAGGTGCACTCCGATTGTTTCCTACTTCAAAATTTTAAAATAGAACTTAGATGTGCAATATTTAGGGCACATCTAGATGTTTTTTTGGAAATGGAGGCATACCCCCGGCCTCTGCATCATGATGATGCATGCAGCCATCTTATTAATAATCCAGAACACAAAACGGAGCAGATCAAAGTACAAAAAAAGGAAAAATACATGTGAACCATATCAACCGGCACAATGAAGATAAAAAGGATAAGCTCTCTAGACTCTTATCATGTTATGCGAGCGCCATCCGAACCGGTTGAAGATAACCCGAGCTACCATCTCCCATTGGTTGCACCCAATAACCAAAGGCTCCCTGGAGTCCATAGGAGTGAGTAAGGACCACGTACAGATCCAAGCTGTAGCTCTGAAGATAACCTGCAAAAAAGTCAAAGTGTGTTGTCTGTTGAAAATCATATCATTCCTGCAGTTCCATATAGCCCATAATAGGGCACATCCGAATACGAGCCGCAGTAATCTGATCAACCCCAGCTAGCCACGTCCCGAACAAAGACGCAATATCAACTGGAGGATTAATATTAAAAGCTATATGAATCGTTCTCCAAAGTAACTTAGCAAATGGGCATTCAAGAAAGAGGTGTTGTATTGTTTCGTCTTGATCACAAAAATAGCACCGCGAAGAGCCTACCCATCGCCTCTTAATTAAGTTGTCCTTTGTGAGTATCACTTGCTTGTGAACAAACCACATGAAGATTTTAATACGCAAAGGAATCTTAACTTTCCAAATGTGCAGCGACCTTGATAGGGGGCCAGAGTTAATGAGATCCATATAAAAAGATTTCACCGTAAACCTCCCATTCCTAGTTAGTTTCCATTGTATTGAATCCGGCTGATCAGAGAGTTGAACTTCTATCAATGTCCGAACCAGATGCATGCAGACGGTCCATCTCTCACCAACTAACACACGTCTGAATTGAATGTTCAAGGAAATTGTTTGAAGGATGGAACCCACGTAATCCTCCTTACGTTGCACAATATTATAGAGTGTAGGATATTGGATGGCCAAGGGCGTCTCTCCTAGCCACGTGTCCTCCCAAAATCTTGTTGACATTCCATTGCCAACCAAGAATTTGACCCTACGAAAGAACAGGTCCTTCATGCGCATAAGTCCCTTCCAGAATGGCGAGTCAGTCGGTCTCATGGTAACCTGGGCTAGTGTTTTCGAGTGCAGATACTTATTGCGCAAGAGATGAGACCACATGCCCTCCGGCTCAGTCTCTAGTCTGTATAGCCATTTGCTCATAAGACATTCGTTCTTGATTTCTAAGTTTTCAATACCGAGACCCCCTTGGTATTTAGGTCGGCAGAGGATATCCCATCGCGCGAGACAGTATTTCCTCTTGGCCTCATGAGACTGCCAAAAGAAGCGGGATCTAAAGAAATCAATTCGCTTGCGAACTCCTTTCGGAAATTCGAAGAACGACAGTAGGAACATCGACATACTAGTCAGTACTGAGTTAATCAGGACTAGCCGACATCCATATGACATAAGCTTACCCTTCCAGCAGCTAAGTTTTTTTCAATTTGTTCTTCAATACATTTCCATTCTTTATTGGAGAGCTTACGGTGATGGATCGATATACCCAAGTAACTGAATGGTAAGGCACCTGATTCGCATCCAAACAGTTGTCTGTATTTGTGTTCCTCGTCTTTGGCCTTCCCAAAGCAGAACACCTCGCTCTTATGAAAACTAATTTTTAATCCAGACAATTGTTCGAAGAGACACAAGATAAGTTTCATATTACGTGCCTTAGCCATGTCATGTTCCATGAAATGAATAGTGTCATCAACATATTGTAGAATGGAAACCCCTCCATCGACAAGATGAGGAACTAGACCCTCTACATGGCCATGCTTCTTGGCCCTGCCAATAATGACCGCCAGCATATCTGCCACAATATTGAACAGAAGAGGAGACATGGAATCCCCTTGTCGCAACCCCTTATGTGTCTGGAAATAGTGACCGATGTCATCGTTCACCTTGATTCCTACACTTCCTTCCTGGACTTGGGTATCTACTTGCTTCCTCCAAGTTTCAGTAAAACCCTTCATGCGCATTGCCTGTTGAAGAAAATGCCATTTTACTTTATCATACGCCTTCTCAAAGTCCACTTTGAAAATAATCCCATCTAGTTTCTTCGAGTGGATCTCATGAAGCATTTCATGCAGAACGACCACCCCTTCCAGTATGTGTCGTCCCGGCATGAACGCTGTTTGGCTCGGTTGGATCACCGAATGAGCAATTTTTGTCAATCTATTAGTTTCGATCTCCGTGAAGATTTTGAAACTCACATTCAGCAGGCAAATGGGGCGGAATTGTTCGATCCGAACAGCCTCATCTTTCTTAGGTAACAACGTGATCGTTCCAAAGTTAAGATGAAACAACTCCAAATGACCGTCAAAAAAATCTTGAAACATAGGCATAAGATCATCTTTAATAATATGCCAACATTTCTTATAGAATTAAGCGGGGAACCCATCTGGTCCCGGTGCTTTATTCGGCTTCATTTGGGAAATTGCCTGATAAACCTCTTTTTCAGTAAACGGTGCAGAGGGAACATCATTCTCTGCTGCCTGTAATTGAGGTATATCATCAACCATAGATTCGTCAAGGGACACCGTGGATGAATTCGGGGGACCAAAAAGTTTTTTTATAATAGTAAGAGATGTATGCTTTTAGATTTTCATGTCCCACTATTGTCCCCTCGTCCTGTTCAAGCTGTATTTTTTTTCTTCCTATGCTTGCCATTTGCAACCATATGGAAAAATTGTGTATTGTCATCCCCTTGGTCAACCCTTAGTGTTTTTGCACACAATGCCCACTTCAGCTCCTCTTCTCTCAAGAGAGCCCGTAGACCTTGCTCAGCCTGGGAATTCGTTCGTTGCTCATGAACAGAGAGAAGAGTGGCCTCCGCCTTTAAGTCTAGTGCCTCAATCAATTGAGCAAGACACTCTTTTTCTCATTTGTAAATCCCACTCTCATTTCTGGCCCAACCTCTCAGAAATTGTTGGAGATGTCTAATTTTATTTTGCCATCTCTCAACATGAGTCCTTCCACTAACCGGCTTAGCCCATTCTCGTGCAATCATCTCCATAAATCCTTCTCGCTCAAACCAGATTGCTCGAAGGAGAAGATATTTTTATTTGCCACATGTGTAGCCTCCCCCGAGTCTAAAAGAAGTGGTGTGTGATCCGAGATCGCTCTCTTCATTGCATGGACCGACACCAGCGGATATTTTTGTTCCCACTCCACACTAGCAAGCACTCTATCCAACTTTTCATAAGTCGGAATAGGTAACAAGTTTTCCCATGTAAACTGTCTACCGGTGAGCTCTATTTCTCTAAAATTGAGACTCTCGATAATCATATTAAACATCATGGACCATCGTCCATCAAAATTGTCATTGTTCTTTTCATCTCTTCTCCTGATGATATTAAAATCTCCCCAACTAGTATCGGAAGATTTTCATCTCCACAAATCCGCACCAGATCAGCCAAAAAGTCAGGTTTGAGTTCAGGTTGTGCTGCCCCATAGACCGCTACTAGGGACCATCGAAACCCATCCATTTTTGATCGCACCCTGAATTTGACCGAAAAATCTCCCTGAACCACATTAAGCACCTCTAACGTCTCACACTGTACTCCTAGTAAAATCCCGCCAGATCGTCCTCTAGGAGGTAAGATGTGCCAGTCAAAATCGATACCACTAGAGAGAGTTTGAAGAAACTGTGATGCGAAATTATCTCGTCCACTTTCCAAAAGTGTGATAAAGTCTAAGTGTTGTTCCATCGTTGTTTCTGCTAAGAATCTTTGTTTAGCCAAGTCTGCTAGATCTCTGCTATTCCAGAAAATTCCTTTCATAAGTCATCATGAAATTTTTTTATGCTTAACTCTGGCACTTCTGCATAGCGCCGACGTAGGATAAATTTTCCACTTCCAGGGCCGTTTGGGCTTTTCCTCAACTCCCTGCGGGATGGAAGGATCGGTGACCACAGAATCATCCCCCTCCATCAGGAGAGGCTCAACCGTGTCTGTAGTCTCCAAATCCTCCTCATCCTCCGCCTCCGCGGTGGGAAAAAGGTTATTACAAAAATTTGCAAGATCAGCCATTCCTAAATTATTCATTTCATTGCCACTCATTGGTTTGATAGATGCAAGATTTCGAATGATTTCGAAAGTCCTCTCCGCTTCTAAGTCTAAAATATCATTAATGGATTTGACAACCTCGGTTTCATTTGACCCCAAAGAAATTCCTAAGTCGTTTGCCTTATCCACTATTTCATTTTTCTCTAGTAATACTGAATTTTAAAATGTTTACATCTTGAAAGACAACCCCGATTCAAAATACATTTAACTTTAAATTGTCTAGTTTACGAACGTCCATTCTGCTACATGAACCGGTCATGGGATGGCCCATTAAGCCCAGGATTAATTTTATTTCTATTTCGAAAAAAGTATTTTCATTAACTAAGAGTGTATTTTCCAAAAATAGAAAAATGTATATCATAGTAAGGAAAAATGTTCATGCAGGTGTATAAGAAGATTTTATAAGTGTATAAAAATATTCATCGCTTATTTTAAAAATAATTACATAAAAAAGTATATTAATGTAT